TTTTCTGTGGCCCAGATTCCTTTCGCTATTTCGCATCCACTGTCTCTGTACCACCTGATCTCCCTCCACCCATATAACTCCATGTTCACTCTCGCTCTACATCCTCAGTTTGTAAATTCCTCTTCATTGTCACACTCAAGTTTCTCTCTCAACGATATTAGCCCTAATTCAAGCAATTTCTTCATCTTCCTGTGACCCATCACAAAATGACCTTGGCTTCTAGTTTTGTAACCCCAATATAAGGAATTATTCTTTTCAACAATTGCAACAGAGTTTATACGATTTGCTGCACGCTGATAACACACCCAAGAAACCTAGAGAGAGAAAAATTAAAAGGTGGGCTTTGAAGAAGGGAAGGATGAATCTTTTGTGGTTGTAGCAATAAGTAAGAGAGAGAAGCCCACAGCTATTTGGCGCCAAAACAAGGAAATGGGAAGAAGAGGAGATAGAAGTATGTAGAGAGAGAAACAAAAAAACCCATGAATTTGGGGAAAAGTTATTTAAATCTTCTGATTTTTAAAGGATCTTTATAAATTTTATGTTGGATAAGTTTAAGAATTTATATTCATAATCTTGGCAATCCCACAGGGTATTCCAAGAATTTGTAGGATCCATGATCTTATATTCATCCAATAGAGTTCGATAATTTTGTTGTTGCCTCTTTAATTTTCAGTGCTTCTGAATTTGCTCGGTTCTTTCAATTCTAAATTTCATGCTTGTATTGCTCTAAGGATTCATCATCGACCCTCTTAAAGGACCCCAAGTTTTTGGGAGTATTTAGAGAAGTGGACTGACAGAGAAAGTGGGTTGGACTTCTGGGTATTTAATCAGGGGAAGAAAGAGAAAATGGAGCTCAGACAATTGGGTTTTTTAAAGAATTTGTTCCTCAGAGAAGGGATACCAGAGAAAATCAAACTAATCTGTACTCTTCTAGATGGTGGGCAAGGGTGGTGAGGTGATTTTTTGGCAATGAAAGAAAAGAGAGCGGAAAAGTGCTACTAGAAGATGGTTAGCCATTCTGCATAAGATGGAGAAGAGAGATACTGGCCATGCAAAAAAGTTAGAAGGAAAATAAAAATGAATGGGAAGGGTAACTGGCACCTCCCATTCCCCAGTTTTACTCATGAAATAATCTGCACCTCCCATTACCCAGTTTTACTCATGAAATAATGCTAAAAGATCTACACCGTTCAAAATAAATTGACGGTGTAGGAGGGTGCAGCCCAACTTATTTCACTAGTGCTGCAGCCCTATAGAAGCTTTTTCCTAAAAAAAAACCAGGACTCTTTTCTTGATGTACATCTACCCTTATTTGTGGCTCATTTGAGGATGCCATCAGCAAGAGGTTCTTGGTATCGACATATCATAACTAAAACAAAAACGATTCCTGTAACAGAAAGAAACCAAGCTTAATGCTTAAGAAGAATGGGAAAATTTCTGGATGGATACATCACATGCAAAAACAGGTCAAGACAGGATTCTCAGGATAGAAGTGGCACAAGGTGAGTTTCTTAATGGAGATTCATTGGAACAATAATTTTCACAATCATTTAAATTGGACCAGTTTAGAAGGCAGAACAAAAAATGTTTTGAGGTTCTCAAACGAAGAGAAAAAGGATGCAGAAAATACAAAAAACAGGAAGCGATATCCATTCTTTTCTGCTTTGCTAAATACACAGATTTGAATGCCACAGATTATATTATTATTTCCAATGCGTTAAGCCAACCCACTGGGATGCATATGAGCATTAGCAAGACAATAAGAAGCATCTTTAGCCAAGACACACCCAAAAGACATAGTAAGCACAGCCACACCCATAAGTCATACTAGAACTTAATCTAGACAGAATCAACCAATACTTAATGCGATAAAGTCCTTATTGAAAACAAAATCTCATATCTCAAAATAACTCAATGAATGAAATTTCCTACCTTTGCAACTAGCGGCACCTGATTGTCAGTGCAAACGTCTATATTTATGCATGGTCTCGTTCCATATACCTCACTTCCCAAAATATGTTTCCTTAACGATTTCATTAAAGCCCCTGTAAAAGCCAGCCCCAAACCAAAAATAAGCCAAACAGAAAAGCCTATAGCCAATCCTATAACATACAATCCCCTTCCCAGATCATAAAACTTACCATCAGATGACCCACTTGAATCTTTGCATGCATCCCTCCAATGCTTCACCCGTGATTTAGTTCCCTCCAAAAAGATTGCATCCGCAAATGATGGTTTTGAAGAAGTCAAAGGGATTGTGGTCGGAATACAATTCCCATTTTGATGTTTTGATGCAGATTCCTGCACTCTTGATAAGTATGATATGCCTGTTAAGAGAACCACAATTCAGTGCTAAAACTTCACAGGGATTTAATGTTGAAACAAAATGAGTGTGTTCAATTAAAATGAAACTTTCATGTGCATTTGCATGAAATTCAACATCTGGAAGAATAGCCTTCATCATCCAAATTTAGGCTCACCATTGTAAATGCAGGTGTTAAAATCAAAACCCTCTTGAGCCATTGAAGTCAAATAGGATGTTTGGCATGAAAAACTGTAGGATGGCATGCCTATATTTAACTCGTCACGTGGGAACAAATGAAAGTTGTACCTGTTATCAGTAATTCAAGGATTACTAAATCACAGTTCACAGATAAACCACAATTGCATAACTTTAATTCAGCATAAGCTCTCTACATCAGGAAGAACTCAATGAGAAACACTGAAAAATGAGAAGAATAGGCTTATACATAGAAAATCTAAGAATTCATGAGGTACAATAACATATTAATAAAGCTCAAGGTATTAAAATGTATATCGGCAACAAAATTTCATGAAAGCAATAACGATACATTTGAAAACCCCAGGGTCCTCAAGGATATCAGGTCCAAAACCCAACAGAGTCTCTTGGACAGTGGTTTAGGTGGTAGACTACTGGTTCAAAACAGAGAAACAAGAGTTAAAATGAGTGTTTCAATGTCTTCTTAGCTTCACAATAGCAAGCAATGAGCAAGCCACCTAATGGAGAGTATTCTAACATAAAGATGATATACCCATATTAGTATGGTCACCAGATTTTTAATACTCCCAGCTTTTTCTTCTTCCAGGGGCCAAAGAAGATGGCAATAATAGCCACAACTGTTTTTTGATTTGCTCATTGACTATCTTCCATTCAAAAGAGTGGCTTACCAGAAAGATGGGTGTCAACTACTTGGAAGAATGTGTATAATTTAAAATAAATTAATATCTAAAATTGACCAATGACCTGCTTATCTATATACTATATTATTAAGCCACACTTAACGGGTGGATATATGTTGCAAGAATAAGAAGGGACCCTATGCATAGAGATAAGATAGGGAATATGCCTAAGAAATAAAGGGCATTTTAAGTTAGGGTATCTTTCTAATTAGATAAATCAAATCAATTTTTGAGATTTAGAGAGATGACATAGAAGAGAGAGAGTCACGTCGATATAACAAAAGATAGAGTTTAATATTTTCAAACATCCTATAATTTTGAGAAATAGTTCAAGGTTCTCTATCTTAGAAGGAGATCTAGATGGATTTCCTTATCCTAATCCAATATTTCCCTTAGAAACTACAATGTTGATCCTAAATAAGTTTCTTTTTTATAATCTAATAACTAAACTAGTGAGTTAACAAATCCAAAAGAGTACGGAGAGAGAGAAAAGAAGGGAGGGAGGAGAGAGAGAGAGAGGGGTGGATTAGAGAGAGAGGGGGAGAGAGAGAGAGAGGGCATGAGAGCAAGGGGATTATGGAGAGAGAGAAGGCATGAGAGCAAGGCGGTTATGGAGAGAGAGAGAAAGAAGGAAAGAGGGAGTTTTGGAGAAGGGGGAGAGAGAGAGAGCTAGCTCATCACCCACTCTTTCCCTTTTTTACCTTTATCATTCAACAATAATTTTTATACTTATTTTTTATTATTTTATAAATATTACTTTTTGAAAGGTTTTATTAATTTTATGTCTATTGATGACCTAAATTTTAGTTATGCACTATGCCTATGCATGTGTTCTCTCCCTTATGTGAAGTATGACAACATTCAAATTCCCTTTGTATGTTGATTTATAAGTTTTTCATTTTCTTTTTAATTTTTCATCCTAGAAGTTCACATAAATCTAATTGCATATCATCTTAACATTAGGTTTTTTACCTTTTGAAGTAATTGATTTGTAATTCCATCATCAACTTTATGTGTCCCAATATATATTTGTCATTTCTTTCTCAACAATGTTTTTTTTTAATCAATATTTGTGTATATTATAGGTTGGTTTTGTCATGCTTCTCTTCTCTTCCTTTTTTTATATTTCATTGTATCATGTAAGTTGGGTACTTAAATATTTGAGTACTTATGAAAATATTCTTTCTAAACCCAATACATAAATAAGTTAGCCGTTACTCTAATATATTATTTTAATTATTATATGAATTTCATTTTTTTTTACTTTTCATTATTAGAAAGCTAACATATTGGAGTTCTTTGAGATTTGTATTCGAATTTATGGCGAAAATTTTATAATCTAGGCTTGTTTTTCTGTTTTAGTCCATGGTTAATTTACTATTTCTTCTTCCCCAAGATCACTAAAAATTTTATTTTTAAGGAAATGAGTTTGTTTCTTTTTATTGTTCTTCTTTTGGTTTTCTCCTACATTTAAGAGGCATGCTTGGAAAGTTAAATAGATTACATTTCCTTTGTAGATATGTATTTATATTTTCTGGTCTATTTTTTGCATTTTTTTGTATGTAATTTTGACTTTTTTGTTATTAAACAAATAAGAACTTACTTTATTATTTAGATTATTACTAATGATTTACTTTTGTCAGTGACATTGGTTTCATTTATTTTTCTAAATATTTTAACAATTTCAAAATGCTTCATAAAAATTATACATTGCATTTTATAAAAATAGTTAAAAGGAAACTATCTTTCATCCCTTATTTTTTACTACCAAATCATTTTTTTATTTTTGTTGTTTTAATACATTAAAATTATGTAAAACCAATTTCTAAAAAAAAAAAAAAATTCGTTCCAAAATTTTTTTAAAAAAATTCTTTCCAATTTTAACTTATCATCTTCTCTATGTAATTAAAGATTTTAATTTCACAAAAAAAATATTTGTGCATGTTTATGATTTTTAATATTGGTTATGATTATTTTAAATATTTTCATTAGAAATTATAATTGTTCCAAACTAGAATGCCAATTTTTAATTTATGCCCAAAATACCTATTGAATAATTCATTTTTTTATTACATTTTTTTAATGTATTGAAGTTAATTACATTCTCTTCACTAAAAATAGGAAACAAACTTAATCTCATTTTAGACTTTTTCAAACACAAAGGAAACCGTCTTTATTTATTTTTGGAAAATTTCAAATTTCAAAGTGTCTCAAATAAGAAATGTTGTACCTACTATAATAACAAGTAAATCAGCCTGAGATATCAAATATTTATAAATTTCTGCTCCTACAAATTTTCGTTAATAACATCTTCCTTGTGTTAAAAGCTTTTGAAAATATAAAAATTGAAGTTAGTTTAAGAAATTTTTGCATATTATAAAATTTGTTCATGATCATTTTCCAAATGTTTTACAAAGAATTTCTTAGTGCTCAAAAATATGATATTTGGGAAGAGTTTATATAAAGCCGAGGCTCAAATTTGAGCCTACCTCAAAAATTTCACTAGAAGAGGTTATTTTGATGCCCAAATATCTTCAACTTAATCATCTCGACATCAAGATGTATGGACATGAGAAAAAAATGGCGCAAATTTTGAAAATAGTGTATTTTGTAACGCATTTTTGGACCGTCAATTTTCAAAATTTTCAAGTTTTCATATATATGTCGATCTACACTATTTTTGAAGCTTTAACTTTATAAATAAATATGAAAATATATTTTAAGGCTATCGCAAAGATTTTCAATATTGAAACTACATTGCTCAACGCTATTTGAAGGTAGGCTCCAATTTGATTGTTTAGAGCCTAGGCTCTATACAAACCGCACCCATGATAATTTGGTATAATTTTTTAGGATGTAAAAATAATTTTTAAATTCCATCTAACATTAGATAAGTATATTAAGATTATATTATTAATTTCCTTTGTTCTTTGATTTATTTTATTTTTCATTTATCTTTGCTTACATTTAATATTAAAATATATTATTGATTTATTTCTCTCTATAAAGTGTTTTTGTCATTCTTCTACCTCTCATTGCATTTATACGTGCAACACACATAAATCTACTAGTGTATATATATAATTTAAGATGAAATAATATTTAACATTGACAATGACCTCCTTAAGGATGCAACCATCCTCATGTAAAATGCTTCTGAGTATTATGCAGGGATGACAAATAGTCTAGAGATTACAGAGTAACAACAAAAGAGAAATGTAATACGCTTCAATGAGTTATGAAAAGTCTTGATCTTCATCAAAGAGTATGTATTTCGAGAGACCATTTCATGTCGTTACACACAAGGAAATTCACCAAAAAGCTTTCTCTTCAACTGCAAAATGACGGATCAAAGCTAAAATTGGTTCATTAACAAGTTCCCACCTATTATGACTGAATTATGATTGAGTTAAAATGAGATTGTAGATGATCAAACATTTTTCTACAAAAAATTCATTTTTGTTGCCAAATAACTCCCCCCATTTACTAAACTACCTAATGGAGGACAAGATTATTCTTATTTTTTATATTTGTTTAATTTCAACGATGTATATTCTAATTTTAGTTTTAGGGTTTTTATGTTTTTTTGTAGGATTCTAGGGTTCTTTTATATTTTTATTTACTATTCACTAGTTACTATTCTGGTCTAATAAGGGTGAGGACCTTAAACTTTCTCTTAACTAGTCCCAAGCCTAGGTAAAGGAGGTCAGTTGCGTTAGGTCGGCAGCCAACATAAACATTACTACATCTTATCATGAATCTTGAACCTATTTTGGTCTTATAAAAGATATGACTCTTGATAGAGAAGAATGGAGGGGGAACATGTTTCATGTACCTAACCCTAAGTAATTGGTATAAGGCTAGGATGATGATGATTCACTGGTTTCTATTCACGGGTATTGTTCATAGGTACTATTCACGTATTGTTCATGGGTCTCTATTCATCATCATCATCATCATCAATATAGCCTTTTCCCAACTATTTGGGGTCGGCTTCACGAATTCCGGTTTGTCATTCTGTCCTATCAAGGGTCATACCCTCAGTGAGGCCATAAGTTGTCATATCTTTTCTCATTATTTTCAACCATATCCTTCATGGCTTGAAGTTCATAGGGGTAAATTTGTCATCACACATTTTATGTTTTATTTTTTTTGGGTCATTTAATTATGGAAAAGGTTTATATAAGGTTGCAACCTTAAAATGTAGAAGAAGAGTGCACCTCAAAAATCCATCGGAAAAGCCATTTTGATGTTGAGAAACCCTTTAATTGATCATCTCGACAACAAGATGTATGAATATGGGAAAAAAAAAAGATTTCAAGTCCCAAAAATAGTGCATCTAGCAATACATTATGTGGACCGCCCATTTTCAATATTTTCATGTGTTATAGATCTACTTCATTTGAACCATTTTTGGAGTTAATTTGATTGTTTAAGGTTGCAACCTTATGCAAACCACACCCTTTAATTATTATAATGTATTTGAATATTAAATTATGATATATAAGAGGTGTGTGGAGCCAGTCATTCCACTTGATTTTTAGAAATTTTCAGAAATTAAAAAGAAATAAAAGCTTAGGCTTTTAGAACCCTAGCTTGGAGTGTGGAGGAAACCCTAGGTTTCTCCTAGTTATTGCTTGTGTTCTGCATGATTTCTTGCTGATTTTACTGCTTTGTCAAATTTTCCTACATCACTACCACACCATTCCATCTCTCCGAGTAAAAAGGTTCTTTTTTCTCTCTGTTATAATTGTAAGAGCTCTTCACCTCCACAAATGCAGATTTGAAGTGCTATTCCAAAATCTAATTCCTAGAAAATTATTGCATGTTTCATTCCCTCTATGCTGAAACACCAAACTTCAGTTTCCCTACTAAAACAAGCTTGAAGAGTAAGACTAGAAGATGAAATTGCACTAAAAGATTAAACAAAGCCACTGTTAATAACCAAATCCTATTTCATTCATACAAAATAACATTGAAAATAAAATATTTCTGTTTACAGTATCAAGAAAACCCTATTTCACTCTTACATTTCCTTCCTCTTTTAGTTGTTCCAAAGACTAAAAACCACATGTCGATGATTTAAAAATTACTTCTAAAAATTATCCATATCTTTGTAGAACTTCTACTCGTCCCTAACTACCCAAGCCCTAAACCCCAATCAGTAAAAATACACATTTTTCATCAAAGAATAAAAAACAAGAGAGAGAGGAATGGACTTACGGATACGCAATCACCTTGGTTCCCTGAAAAGTGATGGGGCAAACAGTGAAGTGAAGCAACTCAAACCTCTCAGCCGCATCCCTCGATTTACAGTAAGCAGTTTCAGGGGTATCAATGGGCAATATGCGACGCCATGGAGCTGAGAAGGTCCCCGTCTTCTGAGAAGAGACGCAGATGAAATCGGCACCATGAATGCGTTCCTTCACCTGAGGGAGTATACGAGAGAAGTTGGACTTAGTTATCTGCTTTATCCGCCATTGTTTCGAGCTGGAGGAGAAGAAGCACCTCTGCCACTTGTGCGTCATGGCGGGAACACCCAGAACCCTAGATTTTCAAGGTGCAGCTAATATATACAGTAGAAAAAGTAGCCATTGGTGCATCTTACAATTACTCTTCACCCTTTGATTTGAAATTGGATGGCTGCGTATAATATGCACGATACTATCTACTTTGCGGTTTATATAAGCCGCACGGTACCTGCAAATATATTGTCTCTCAATTGTATTACTACCGTAATACATTATTTGCAAATGGATTTTCACTGATGTGGTAATATTTAGATAACATTTTTAATGTTTGGTTATCTCAAAGAAATATAAGAAATGTATTACCAACCAAATATAAAAAATATGGTTATGTTTGGCTAACATGATTAGACTTTGCATTCAATATAATATGTCATTGAAATAATATAAATGAAATAACATGATTTTATTGTGAAAAGCCTTATTTTTCATAGAAGTATTTCAAATGTCTCTTTATATATAATTTCAAATAAGCAATAAATTTGTGATACCAAAATCAAATTCTTTATGGTATAAGTTAAAAAATGAGAAGAAGTTTGATTAGTAAACTAGAAGGTTTGATAATTGCAGTATAAAATTTTAAAGCATTAGAGGAGACTAAAAAAGTATCTTGTTTCAATTGAGCTTTTACTAATCACTTATGAGGATTATGTTATGTGAAATTTTTTATTATAATTGTGTTGTGTAATTTCTTATTGATTATCAATTATTATTTTTATTTTTATATGATCCGATGGTTTCAAATGAGAGCTATATCCCAAATTGAGGATAAAGAGATGTAGTAATTTTTTTATTAAGAATATAATAAAAAATTGTCCCTTATCCAATTTTATATTTATTCAAATCAATTTAAATTTCCCCTACTTTCACTTATCCATTATTAAAATTCGTTTTTATATGAGAGTAAAATGAAGGCTACAATGAAAATTGGGGATAGAGGGATGTAGAATTCTTTTTGTTTTAATATGAGACTTAGATGAGGGCTACAATCCAAATTGGAGATAAAGAAATGTAAATTTTTTTTTATTAAGAATAGAATAGAAAATTGTCCTTCATCCATTCTACACTTATTCAAATCAATTTAGATTCCCCTACTTTCACTTTCTCATTTTTAGATGAGAGTAAGATGAGGGTTACAATCCAAATTGGGGATAGAGGGATGTAGAGTTTTTTGTTTTTATATGAAAGTTAGATTAGGGCTATAATCCGCATCGGGGATAGAGGGATGTAAAAATTGCGGTAGAAAATTGTTTATCATTAAGTTTATATAACTGTTCAAATCAATTTAGAGTACCCTTTTCGTATCCCTAATTTCACTTTCTACCTACTTTAATAATTATACAATACAACATAGACTAGGGAGATATTTTTTTCTATTTACCTTAATAATTATACAATACAACATAATTATGCAATACCACAGACTAGAGAAATATTTTTTTCTACTTACCTGAATAATTATACAATACAACATAAAATAGTTATTTTTAAGTAGCATAGGAAAGAGAGACTCACGCGAAATATTTCAAAAAAGATTACCTAAAAAACGCGTAATAGATTTTTCACCCTCAGTTAGGGAAATCTCGGGTAATCTCGTCGATTTCATTATTATTAAAGTGTACCGAAACAGTAGAAATATAGGGAAAGAGACGTACGCGAAAGATTTTCAAAAAAGATTACCTGATAAGTGTGTAATGCATTTTTCACCCTCAATTGGGGAAATCTCGTGTGAACTCTTTTTATTTTGTTATTATTAAAGTGTACCGAAATCGTGAAAATATCATATTTCTTCGTAATCGATTGTCACGTAATAGATTTTCTCGTGCCCAAACACCCTTAAAGCATACTGCGTAAACATAATGTCCTATTGCCAGTTTTTATATGGCCAGAAATGCATGCCTATTAATAAATCAATTTTTTGATGACTTTTTTGACTTAGTTTTTAAGGACATATAATATATATGGAGATCATGATTATGAAAAAAAAGCAAATTTTTAAAATTAAAAACTATAATATTAGTAAAAACACATTTGGACCATTAATTTCAAATGTTTTTAAATGGGATACCTACTTACATCTATTTTTAAGATGGATGTTTTACACTTTTGGACCGCTTATGTAGTCATGCGGTCCAACCTGAAACAATTTTCCACGATTAAAAAATAGAACACGAAAACTTTTTTTTACCATCTTAAGCCTATCCTTTTTCTTTTTTTTTTGTCTCCTCTTGAAAAAAAAGTACATTTCTCTTGCATAAGCATATTGTCTATTGGCTTACCCAAGCAATGTAGGAAGAACCAGCTGAGTGAAATTGGACCCCGCAGGGTTACCTTGACTCACCTATTGGACGAGGCAGTTTTTAGCCAGGGGTCTAACCGCTAGGGGGCTGGACCCCCTACCTGACCTACTCGAGTAGTCTACCTACACGAGCGTCTTTTTCTACTACCCGGTGGGGTTTCTTTTAATCTGGTCAGTTTAGCTCAATTAGCTCAGTTATATCCTGAGTTTGGTGGTCAAGCTCGAAATCTTAAAAAAAAAAATCGAAAAGTTGTAAAAATCTCAAAAAAAAATAATTTATTTGTAATGTATTTTTTTATTTTTATTATTTTGGCAAAGATTGAAAAGTGTTTTGGCATGTTTTTACATTTCTCTTCTTTTTAGATTATTTCTAAAATACTTCTAGTCACAAATTGATTTTTCAAAATCTATTGCACTATTTTTTTTATCCTTTTGTTTAATTTTATTTGAAACATATTTTTAGGATTTTTATATTTTTTTAAAGATTTTTTGGCCACCTGCCTAATTAGGGCCGGGATACTCGGACCTAGTCTAGGTCACTCAGCCCGGCCCAGGCTAGGTTCCAATCCATGTTCATGCTTTCCTACACCGGTACCAAGGATGGATTAGTTTTAGGATGCCAAACTCTAAGATTTTAAATATTTAACCTACTACTTAGTAACCAACTTCAATATAGAAAAACTCAAATCACACATTCTTTGCACTTGAATAAAAAATATGAATTTAAAAAACGCCGATTCGGATCAGAACCGAGCAATCCAGATTGAAAATCATCAAACCGAACCGGTTCCAATAAAATATGAGGAACCAGCCATTCCCCCTAGGTTGATTCTCCGTTATGACCGGCATGTTCAATCCGGGTCACTAGAGAACCGGTTCCCAAACACTTAACTTTTGTTGTTATTTCTTTTACATTTCATATTTGAATCATTTATCTTATTCTCTTACCATTTTAAAGTTGCAACCTTATATAAATTTTTTCTAAATGTAACTGTTAAAGAACTTAAAATTCAATTTTCTTTGAAAATAATTTTCAGTGATTATTAGATGTTTTCTATTTTCAAATCCAAGAATTTCTACAAGAAACTCTTTTGCCGTACAATATGCTCCTAGAGAAGGTGATACTTTATATGGTACCTTGCATGTCCTAGAGAAGGTGATACTTTATATGTTACCTTGCATGTCCGAGAGAGTGTGTGATGTAGAAAAACGTCGCGTGTTTATGCCATGAATATCAACGAAATTTGCCAACTGCTTTATCCAAGGAGTTTGCTTCTACCTTCATCTCTCTAAATATGTGCACCAAATAAAGAAAATTGTTTCATGCGGGTTGGACCACATTTCTATAAATACAGTTAAGGAAGTATAAAGCATCCATCTTGAAGTAGGTACTCATCCTAAAAACAATGAAAACGGACAGTCCAAATATTTTTTTACAAAAATTATTATTTATAGGTTTTTAAATTTATTTATTTTTCATATTGATGATTTTTGTGTTAGAGATTACTTGTTCTAAAATTTTAGGTCTTAAAATCCATATCAAATTTTTTTTTATTAAGAGGCACACATTTCTACTATTAAGAGGCACACATTTCTACATATGCGGGCTTGGCTGCATAGAAACCGGGTCCATCAAATAAAGGTCGATGTCCCTAAGGTCTTTAAAAGGGGAAGCAAAATGCCATTAGTATGGTGCAGTCTCATCTCCATCAACGAATTAAGATGAATAAGAATCGAAGGACATCGCACAAGTGCTTTCTACCACTTCATTTGCAGGAAAATGAGCGCTAGTATTAGTATTTTTGGGTTTGAAAAGAAAAAGAGAAATAATGTATATATCCGTTATATTTAGTATTATTACATAATTATTGGGAAGTTTCTGTTATTACATGTATGTTTGTTTTTCCAACTTCATGGCAGTTTTTTTTTAAGCAGACATAACTGCCTTTTTTGGTTTTTCAAAAATGGGAAAATTAGTTTTTTCCAATAGATTTTTCTAGTAAGTTACTGGAAAATGAAAGATAGTTTTCGGTTTTAAAAAAACTGAAAATATCCACTTTTAAATTTTTGAAAAACCGAAAGCACAACATTTTCGGTTTTGTAAACACCGAAAATCTATCTCTTTCCAGTAAATTTTCCAGTAAGTTCCTGAAAAATGAAAGATAGTTTTCGATTTATGAAAAACCGAAAACACATCAATTTGGGTTTTTCACAAAACAAAAAATCTACCTTTCCAAGAAATTTTCTAGTAAGTCACTAGAAGATGAAAGGTAGTTTTTGGTTTTTTTAAAACTGAAAATACGACAAATTTTGTTTTTCAAAAACAGAAAATCTGTCTCTTTCCAGTAAATTTTCTAGTAAGTTACTGGAAAATGAAAGATAATTTTTGGGTTTTGAAAACCTGAAAATATCCAAATTTTGGTTTTTGAAAATTTGAAAACACAACTTTACTTAAATGTTTCTATTTTTTAAAAATCGAAAAGGGTGGTTTTATCTTTTTTTAAAAAAAAATGTTATGAAGTTGAAAATTTGGGTATACATGTAATAATAAAAACTTAACAATAATGCCATAAGAACACTAAATATAACATATATTTTCTCAAAAAAAGATAGTAAAGCATTCCATATGACCCACCAACATATATAGAGAATGTGATCCATGATCTCAGCCGTCAGATCTAAGCAAATGCTGAGATGGTTTAAGTCGCAATGTCACAAGCTAGCTCTTGAGCGTTAGATCTTGATCCAAAATCTCAGAGTATTTTATTTTTAATTTTTATTCTATAAATTATTTTATA